GGTCGTCAGACCAATATGTGGTTGGGTCGTCAGACCAATATTTGTTTGGGTCGTTAGACTAATATGTGGTTGAGTCGTCAAACCAATGTGATTAGGCTGTCAGGAGAATAATTTATTTTGATCGGGTCTTCAGATCAAGCATAACATGCTTACATGCAGTTGGTTGTCTGTTTACGTATATAGACGTATTGCTCGCCATTAGTGCTTTTTTGCTTGGTTACCAAGGAAACCCTACTTATTATTTCAAAGTACGAACCAGGTGTCAACGATAGCTAAAAGGTTAACCATCCTGGCGTAGTAGTGAAAATATATCTTTAAGCTGTTCGATCATTAATGAAGTATAGCGAATGATAAACCTGTCGTATGAATGATAAACGACAATGCAACTACAATTGAGAACAACACTGAACGGTGTTGGCCTCTACTAATATAATGGTTCAATATTTCTCCGGTTAATCGTTCATGACTAGGAAGGTCATCTTACATTAACGTGTCATAATGATTTCTGAAATTATTAATGAAAAGAATAAAAATTGTTCTCTTTTGGAGAACATGGTTTTTTCTCAATGCTAGTATTCCATAAGGACTAAGAATTAGTTTGAATGTAAAATGTTTGGGTTCGTAAACATAGATGCATGTAGAAATGAACACACAAGTTATACATGTAGCGACGATGCAGAAATTATAATTTAACTAATGAGATCTTTTGTCAACACACATGCATGATACGATTAAATTACACAAAAAGAAGACAACAAGCAATAATCATTTAGTTGTTTTTGTAAATATAAGATCAGGGAATACCGGTAATAAAAACAAAAAAGTTATAGCAACAATACAGTCGAACACTCTTAGATTCCCGTTAACCGTTTGGTTACCTCCCTTTACGTGGTCTTTGGGTGCATTCGAAAGTAGACTGTATGTTACAAGGGAGGTAACTCTTGCAGTCTTGAATCAAAATAAATAAATTTGTTCTGTATATTTTCGTTACAGATTTATTTTATTTTATGCGTCGAAGAAAGCCTCTGATTAACAGATTGTGACATTTTAATATGAATCGTCATATATCTACATACAAATGTACACCAATAGAGAGATACACATAGAAATAGCCTGTAATAGATAACTGCCTTAATGCACTGAATATGAAGAAAACCCAAAAACACTGAATAAATAAACTTTTGTGTTAATTTAATAGTATGTCAGTATATGAAAAAAAATAACATATACTGACCATAAAACACGTGATGTGTATAATACCTTTTCAAGCATTTATCAATTTTAATTTTCGTTTCTAATTGACCATATACTTGTTTAAATCAAACCTAACATGCTATTTTTCCATAGTTTTATCCCCAGATTTTTCTTTGTGTCCGTGATGTATTATCTTTTGTGCTGAAGTATCCTTACCTGTGCAGGTTCGTGGAAAGAATATACCTGCTGATTCCTGTTTGGCGACGACCAGCAAAATGAGTTTTTCGTTTATGTCTTCAGTATAGGGGAAATAGGTCTGCTACACCCATAGAGACAGTTGGAAATCTTTGCTTTTCCGTTTTACGTTTTTCTTCAGATTTAACGCTTCCGTGGACTCTTTCTGCCCTCTTATTGGTCACCCTTTATGGGAGTGCAACAGGAGAAAGAGAAATGCAGTAGTATGTGCTAGATTTGTGCTGATGTGTTTGTTTATTGTTTGTTCCGAATTGTATCTGGTGTTCGAATACCGTGGTGTATTATAGTGTAACATTTCCTTTGGGTTGTTAAAATGGTATGCAGGTTCATATCCGACAATCAGTGAAACGTTTGTGTGTGACGATTGAATGACAAGTACGTTTAATACTCTTTTAAGTTAATCAGACATTACCAGCCAAGCGTGAGTACACTCAGATCTTAAAAATGTAGAAGATCAAACAGACAAGTCGACTCAGCAGCATTTTAAGCGTATGTATCCTTACATCTTACATTATAAATACCCAAGTGTACCAGCGCCTGTATCGTGTCCAAATCGACTTGCGGTGATATAGCCTTTACAAATAGCACGTCTGTTTCTATCAGCTGTTACAGTTACACCCATCATTTTTAATATTTCACTTAGCACACTACGTAGTCCATCAGAGAATTTTTCATAATTTTTTTTTTTTCCCCTTTAATAACGGCGTCTTATTTTGCGAGTGTATTTTCCAAAAAAAAGATTCATCATGAAAGAACATACAAATTACGAGGCGAAGCTACGTGATCTACAGAGGGTGCGTCACATATGCCACTGGCGTGTTTCTTCTGTCAAATGTATGCAAACACGTCTGTCACCTACGATGAAAGAAACATTAAAAAATCTTCAGATATGTCAAACACTAACATCCATCATGCATCACGTTAAAACTGGCGGTGGATACATACATATATAGAGATCAATACGCATCCATAAAAAATGTCTTTTTCGGATTTGCTTGGTGAAACGGGTTTGAAGGATGCAACTATTTGGTTGGTCATGATGAAAAGTTCAAAGGTTAAATAAGGAGGAACCACATACACTTGTTATTTCAATGCTTTTTTACAGTTTAGAATTTGCACAAGAGTTCTTGCCCTTGTCACAGGCAGGACAATGTAATTCCCTTTTTGACGTATTTTTTCATCTATAAGGTAGTCATTCTGTGAAAACTGATGACGCAATTTCTTAGAGGAAGAGACGATTTCTATTTTTACCATCCGTATCATCTTCTGTCGAAGTGAACAGTCGTATGACGTGTTTGACATTTGGTTCGTGCTAACAACGCACGTGGCTCCGCCTCGGGCTTTGCTGGCGTCTTCCGCTTCGTCTTTAGTTTATTTGTAATCTATATGTTTTGCAAAATAATTTGTTATGAGCATGTTTATTTCTTTACATCTGTGACCTTATGTCTAGTATCCTTGACAGACAATATGTCTTAATGCACACGTAATGTATAAGACATAATACATGCTTAATGTCGAGGACGAGTATAATGAAGTTTAATTCGGGAATCAAATTTATTATTGAGAATTGAAAATTGTCATTGTCAGGTTCGTGGTGTGATAATGGGCGGGTTGGTCGAGTGGTTAACACTCCGGTCCTCAACGCAGGAGGCCGGAGTTCGATCCCCGAAGTCGTCGTACGCATGGAATACACACAACTCGAACAACCCAGGTGGAGTATTAATAGGTGTGGGGTGGATGTTGCGGTATCTATGCTGTAGCATTCAAGTGAGGTGGCACTATAAATGATGCCGTTGGAAGCACGGTCCCACTACAAACAGAACACATCACATCACCAGCACACACGCAGACATACACACATAGGGAATTTTTAGCCAGGTGGCATAGGACTAGTAGAGGCAGCTCCTGCGAATTTCTCAAAATTGTATTGATTAATATGTGTGCTAATTGTATTGATTGTATATCTATATACTGTAAAGCGCTTTAGAGTGGATTATGTTAGCTAGATAGCGCGCTATATTAAATGTTGTTGTTATTATCATAATTATTATTATAAGAAGTTGATTTAGAGGCAATGACATTAACAAGGAATCTGTTAAAATTATATAAAGACGAAACAACTCATCACTACTGTAACTAAACTGTAGTTAATAGTTAACCCTAACGTTTCTAATGAACACATTCAACGTACACGCAAATACTAAAATGTACGGAACACCGTTAGAAATTATATAACATCGCCACTCAGTGATGTTCCCTGGTTGGCCTGAAGTCATTTCCATTGCTGTTGTACTCGCATTGACAGTAATAACCAAATACTATCTCCGGGCTTTTACACAGGTCACGTTGTTCTACTACGATCAGGTCGAATAGAAATGGAAATATTCAATATTCACCACTTAAAACTTTCATTTAGGGTTACTTGTAATACCTGAATACATTAAACATGTACCTTTATCATCGCTCACAGTGGACAATGAAACTAGTATTATGAATTTGATTGTTTGCCGTCAAGCTGTATGTTAAATCATAAAAAGACCACAAAATCAAGTTTTTAAAACGTTTACAATACAGAACGATAACGTAGCAATGACTACCATTATTTATAGTATATACATTAATCTAACTAATAACGATATAACCCGTTTTACAGCAACATAACACTATAATGTTGTATTGTCCTACAAGCCAGAACTCCTATTTGAATGAACTCCTCAGATGCCATGGTTGTTAAGAAAATTTCAGGTGAGCAAATGGAATATGGACTCGAGAATACCTAAAATAATGCTGAGCTGAATATCTACAGTGAAATGTATGCATCTATAATTAATTTGGTTTGTTTGTTCTTTACGTCGTATTAACAGTTTTCGTCATTTAATGACGAGCCATGTTTTTGGTGGTGGAGGAAAACCGGAGTACCCAAAGATAAAACACCGACCTGCGATTAGTACCTGGCGACTGCCCCACGTAGGCCTCGAACCCGCGATCCAGAGATGAGGGCTATTGATCGTAGAGGGTGAGACGCCTTAACCACTCGTCCACCTTTGCTCTCTTGCATCTATAAAATAATTCTAATGTTTTGTCAATAAATGACAGCACTTCCATACATCGCAGACATATACATTCACTGGTAACGACATGCCAACTCGTCAATGTATGTACCGCACAAAACTCGATGTCCGATACGAAAACATCAAGGTGGTATTGCTAATGCTTATCATTGTACCAGCTGGTTTTCATTGGGAATGTTAGAATGGTTTCTACACACTTTTATACTTCCGCTTCTCTCCTGGCCCTCCATGAGGTTAGCATCGCTTTGATTGGCTAGTAAAACAATAGCATGTCATACCAGTGTTACAAATATTATCGATGTTAGCTGTAATTATTACGTACATTTCAAGTGTGAGTGGTTCATTACCAGATATCCGTAAGAGTTGTATTCCCCTTGTAGAACAAGGTGAAGGCATCCTCCGTTCTCCGGGAAAATTCACCAGTAACATAAACCCCTAGATATTCACTAAGGGAATAACAAATAATAAAATAAAACAAAATGATATCAAACATGTCATTTCGTGTAGCACTTTACTGTCATATTACTAAAAACATTGAAAAAACATAAAAACATCAAACAGATATAAATAGACATTCAGATTGTAAAGAGAGAGACCATTCATGTTGCAATGTACATTGTTTCATTGAAGCACAACGTATCACACTGTCGATGTATTCTCACACGTGCAGCCTTGCGCTTCTTCCATAGGAATCATGACGTCACTCGAACCCTTATCAAAACTGTTGCGCCGAGGTACGATCACATATCCTGGTGAGAATGGTTTCCTGTTTCTCGGAGCACATTCCGCCCTACAATCGGTCGGGTATCGCTCCCACCCGCGCCGTATCTTCTTAATGTAACAACCAATAAACGGCAGGGAAAGCACAAGTTTAAAAAACAGTGTCAGAAATGGTAAAACAGAACTCAAAAATGTAATTGATCGAACCATGACCATCGGTCCTTTTGCCCACCCAGGTGCTCCCATTATTATAACGTGAACAAGGGAAAGAAACATGGTCAGATGTCCGAGTTTTGATTGGACAAATCGCCACTCCCGCCAGTTAAGCGTGTTAGTCACGGACGGTATGGTTGAGATGGCAATAACACACAAGGAAATGAAGGCCAGGATTCCCGCGAGACACGCCGCCTCGCCCTTCCATACCATCCATGTCTTTATAGGCACGGTAATGTTATGGGTCAGATTACCTGGAATGGTTATAGATGTGGATTGATACCACGAGCTCAGGTACGTCGGACTCATGATAAGGACGGACATAATCACGTGTATGACGACCAAAGTGAAGGCCACTAGCCCCAGCTGTTTGCGCGCTCTGAGCCAGCGATCGAGCCATGCCGGGAAACGGATGTGCTTCGTTCCGTAATAGATCTGAAAGAATGACGCCACTGAACTTGGTAGATATGTACAGGATATTACGGTAATTGCAGTCATACACAGCGGTTTGTTCAGTACTTTCACAAATATTTGATCCCAGCGGTATGCTGTCTTTTCGACAAAGTAAATGAAGATGATGTATAAAAGCCAGATGTTAAAAACACCGACTGCGAACGCAACTGGTCCTCTCCATTCGGGTAAGAGTTTAAGTGGGAACGCTTCGATCTTTCTTGAAGATTGAAGTAGACCCATATCGACCGGTGCAAATCCCATGTCACGTGCTATCACTGATACCTTTTCCCGCGATTCATTGTTGTCGCTGGCGATGAACACCTGACGGCTACCACCACTGCTGTCAATCTCCATGGCGTACGCAGAGATCACATTAAACCCTTTCACCACAATGGCAGCCGGGATAAGCTTGTTGAGATACTCCGCGTTGCTGTCGGTCTTACTAGGCTGGTCCCTGTTAGAAACATCAATGAGAATTTTGCCTTGTAAGTTCTCAGAGTGGGCCAATAGACAATCTTTGTAGTTTGCGGCGTGGACGGCCACGAATATGACGGCGTTGCGTTTGAGACAGTCTTCTATTGTTGTCATGTTGATATTGCACATACACTCGTCCACGAATGCCAGCGAACGGTCGTCAGGTTTGCGGCTCCCCAGGATAACGTTGTAGCCGGCATAGTATAAACGGTTCGCCAATGCGCGTGCAAAGTTCCCTGTCCCGATGATGCCCACGTTCCGGGCCACTGTCTGCTTCGCCATGATGCTCGGCCTGCAACGACAGAAAGGGTAAACTAGATATTAGTGTTAGAAGGCTGTAGGACAGGACATCATATCAAGTTTTATATTAAACACCTATGTTTCTAGTTCGTTAAATTAGAGGTTTGCAAACAAACCAAAGACAAAATATAATCGGAAAAGTACATTATTATTGTTAATTTGTTCATTGGCACAAAAGCTGACTATATCCAGTTGTTTTCTCACTGCCATATTTCGGTATACTCTGAACAGTAGTTATTTGAACGCCCCCATGCCAAGAACACCATCGGGGATTAAACGTCTGTAAAGTATATTCTGAAAACATTAACAAATTTCAGAAAACAGAAGCTGTGCTAAAATGGTTTATGTATTGTAATTACAATAATCCGAATAGAGCTGTCACGGACAGGACTAAACACATAAACCAACAAGCTGTCACGGACAGGACTAAACACATAAACCAACAAGCTG